AAAAAAAAAAAAAAAACGAAACAAAACACACACATACAAAAGAACCACCTCGCTCTTCCATCTTTCCAAAACCTCTTCACTCATCCTAGTGGCATTGGGTGCTGTAGTGTGTTATGCAGTGGACCCTTTTGTCCAGTCAGCTCCCCCCTCCACACACAAAGTGTTCATTGCAATGAGTCATTGGTCTGGTGCAAGGCCTCTGACACACCATCATCACCGGACCCTCATCGAAACTCCTCTTGGACATCCTGCTGTTGCTCTGAGTCATGGAGATCCTGCGGTTATCTTTCCAAAGGACCAGTTCCTTCACACACTCCAGCAGGTCATTGATGATGTAGATGTGAGGGTGGGTCAACCTACTAGGCTATTATTTTTTATTTGTGTGAATATCATAGAGAATGCTGCAGACTAAGATGGTTATGATGTCACTAGGCTTTTTTTTTTTTTTTTTTTTTTTTTTTTTTAAAGATAGTGACTCCATGTGTAATCCAGGTTGACCTTGAACTCAGTAACCTTCCCATCTCAGTCTTCCCAAGTGCTGGAATTGCAGGTGAGCATAGCCACTCCCAGTCTACTTGAAAGATTTTTTATCTGCCTAAATAACAAGAAAGCAAATATCAAAACAAACTCTTAATTTATTCCCAGCATCTTAATTAAGGGCAAGTGTGGAAACAATCAACCCACAATAACAGATGGAGTACTTAATTAAATTAATTTCTCTTCTAACTCACTCCCTTGTAGTTTTTGAATGAATAAATAGAATTGAGGAAAAATTAGATAATTTACATAAATTGACACGTGGTACTTTAGTTAAAAAAAAAAAATCTGCGGTTGAGAAAGTAGCGGCCTTCGTCAATGACATCAAGTTTACCAGTGCACATTAAATGGCTACTGAAGTCATTATGAAAATTAACAAGTATAATAAATTAAGTTTATGGGTTTACAAGCTGTACTTCCACGGATGACTTTTTGCTAACCAATGAAATTACTATAAATAATCTGAACGATCCAGGGCAGACGGCCAAAGTTTTCTGCATTTTGTGACCTCAAGTCACCAATTCTATCAGTAAGCTAGATGGTTATATAAATATTTGCTTTTTATCTTTTCATGTGAAAGCAAGTAAACGGAATAACAGCAAACTGCCCTTCAGAACACAGACTGTGATCCCAAAGTTGGAAGGAAAATGAAGTCAGGGAGTGAGAGAGCAGAGAGATTCAGTGCTTTAGTTCTCCAGAAGAACTTGGTAAATAACAAGAAGGCTCTATAAACAAGATAAGGCATGGCAGTGGCTCTCAGTGTCACAGGTTGATTGTGTCAACAGGGCACTGGAATAAGGGGGGAAAACCCAAAACACACTACAGGGGTGTAGAACTGTACTATGTGCCCGTGAGTGACTATTTTTTCAGAATGGTTGTCTGACTTCTCCAGAGGTAATTGAATTGTGGTTTAAATTTTTCCTTTTTAGAATCATTATGAACTGATGGCTTTGGTCATATCTGATAAAAGTCACATTGCTAAATTTGGTGTTCAGTTTGATGCTCGTACCGTCTCATCTTTAGTCAATGGAAAGATTTTTAAATTGACATTAGGGCCTGTCTGACATGATCCACTTGCGACAATTTGGATCACGAATATCCACAGTGGCCTGAATATTAGGTCGCCAGTGCTGCTGGGAAGAGATGGGAGATTGTGCTAGGAGGAAGCGGGCTAGCGGAAGGAAGTTAGGTCACAGGGAGTGGATGAAATAAACAAACCCAAACCAACCAACCGACAATCCACTTCCTTGGTGGTAGAAAGACCGTGATGCCAGACACAGTGGTGCACAAGCTCACAGTCCTGAACTTGAGGGGCTAAGGAAGAAGACCCTTCTTCAAAAAACAAAATAAAGCAAAAACAATGAAGAAAAAACCCCCAACAACAACAAACCTATGGCACGTGGTAGAGAGTGCTTGTTAGTGTTGCCCTAAGGTATGAGCCTGACCTCCTTTTGTAAGTAAAGTTTTATTGGGACACAGCTCTATCTTTTCATTTGCTTTGGCAGAGTGAGGTAGCTGCCACGCAGACCCTATGGTCTGCAAAGCTTAAACCGTTTACAATTATGTTCCTTGTGGAAGTGCTTGCCGACTCTTGCTTTAGATTTGAAAATGAGTTATACGGGATATTGCTGCTTGTTATATATACCGCACGGCTTATTTTTAAACTAGGTTGTCTTTGTTTAAGTGTGTGAGACACTCTCTCGCTTTGCTTTGTTTCCCTCTAGTCATGGACGGACCTCAGATCCATTCAAAGAGAGGCAAAGAAAAGGAAGTCATGAAGAATGAGTGCATAAAGAAGAGGAAAAAAACCCCCAAAGATTATCAACCCAACTATTTCTTGTCTGTTCCGATCACCAACAAAAAGGTGATAGTTTCTTAAGAACCTTTTTTTTTTTTTTTTTACTATGAAGTTTTATTCTAAACTATCTTTAAAGGATATTAAATATTTGTCAGCCCACTTGCTTGGAGATTCTAGTAATCGTTGATAACATGGTAGGACCATGTGGGGAAATTTCCCATGTAAGTTATAGAAAGTTATTTACATAATAGTTTTGAAAAATATTGTTCAAATAATCACATTTAATGATAACATGACCAGGTGGAAGACAGACCCTTGGGAGACCAAATGGTAGACAGAAGTCAGTGACTTCCCTCAAGACCTGTGACTTGTGACCAGAAGAGAAGCCAGTTGTTTTTTTTTTTGTGTGTGTGTGGTTTTTTTTTTTGTTTTTTGTTTTTTTTTGTTATTGTTTTTATTTGTTGCTTAGATATCATTCCATTAGCGTCTCCCAGTGTGTTCAGATATGAGGGCAATCAAGCTGGGATATCTGTCAGCCCTCTGATGCCAGGGTTGATTTGGTTGATCTAAAAGCCATCCTCCCAGGTCCATGTCAAGATCGTTTGCAAAGTCTCTCTCAGTGTATTGGCCTCTTTAGAAGCGGAGAGCAGTGCGCATGCGGGAAAAGAGGACTCCGGAGCCTCTGGGGAGATGGGATACCCGGCTTCTTGTTTCACAGGCCATCATAGGACGTGGATCATATGATGGGGATGCAGTGCCGTTTCTTTAACATTACTCATTGCTGTGTAGGTTGAGTATCCCTTGCTCAAAATGCCAGAGTCCAGGAATGGGACACATTTTGGCCTAGTTTGGATTTCGACTAGTCGGGATTTGTATGTACACGATGAGTCTGGGGGCGAGATCCAAGTCTAAACAGGGAACATTTGTTTTCCATACTTATCTTCTTCACATATCCTGAAGGTCATTTAATGCATGGTTTCTAGTGCTTCTGGGGTCTTGACTGCAACCAGATGGTGTCAGATGTGAAAATTTTCCCTTGCTTTGTGTTTTGGGTTTGGAGCAGTTAGATTTTAAGTTTTTGGATTAGGAATACTCAACCTGTACCAATTTAAGATTGTATGTCACACTCGGTAGAAGTCTATTAAAATCTGAAAAATCAGTGTTGCATAAAAGGCAGAAAATGGGACCAGCCAGTGATACTGTACTATGATATTTTTTTTTGGTTTTTGAGACAGGGTTTCTCTGTGTAGCTTTGCGCCTTTCCTGGAGCTCACTTGGTAGCCCAGGCTGGCCTCGAACTCACAGAGATCCGCCTGCCTCTGCCTCCCAAGTGCTGGGATTAAAGGCGTGTGCCACCAACGCCCGGCTGTACTATGATATTCTTAAGATAGAAAAAGAAATACTGGGGGCCGGGAGGGGGGAGAACAAGGGAATCCATGGCTGATATGTAGAATTAAATTATATTGTAAAATAAAATAAAGAAGAAAAAGCAATACTGCATCTAACTGACACGAATGCAGTGACATGGGAATGAAAACACCTGGGAAGAATACTGCATTCACAAGGCTGCCTTTACATCTTAGCCTAAGGCCAGGGCCAGATCCGAATCTCATTGTGAGCTTTGTATATACTCTCTTTGACCAGGCAGGCCAGGGTTCTCTTGTGAGTTGTGTATACTCTTTTTGACTAGGCCAGTGGTTCTCAACTTGGGGGTTGCACCCTCTTTGGGCGTGGAATGACCCTTTCACAGGGATCGCCTAAGACCATCGGAAAACACAGATTTTACACCACGATTCATAACTAGCAAAATTACAGTTATGAAGTAGCAACAAAAATAATTTTACAGTTGGGGGTCTCCACACCATGAGGAACTGTATTAAAGGGTCGCAGCATGAAGAAGGCTGAGAACCGCTGAGCTAGGCAATCTTTTAGTGTTGCTGAGGATCCGACCCAGGGTCGTAGATTTGCTAGGTATGTGCTCTACCACTAAGGTATAATCCCAGCCCTGCTGAGCATTTTAAGTCAAATGAAAAAACACCAGAGGGGGAAAAAAAAAAACAACTGAATTTTGTTGGGTCATTCTAGGAAATACCCCATCGTTGAGACAGTTTAACTAGGGAGAAAACACAATCAGAAGGGAAAAAAAAAAAAGACCTCAGATTCATGTTCTGGTTTTACTAGCAGTGGGGTAATCCTTGGAAGGGTTTGGGTGATGCACATCTTAGAGCATGAGCAACTGCCCATCGTCTTCAGATGCTGGTATGTTGTTTGGGTTGGTTTCCTCTTGCTTTAGGACTGTGTACACGTGGACATTAGGCAAGAGCAGGTCGTGAAGCGCTGCCGCTTGAATGGGCAGCCAGATGGAAGCCAGACCCCGAGGAGACCAAACGGTGGACAGCTGGAGAGTGACTTCCCTGAAGACACATGACTTCTGGCTAGCAGAGAAGCCAGGTTTTGTTTTGTTTTGGTTCGTTGCTTGGAGATCATCCCACTGAAGAGTCTCCCAGTGTGTTTAGATATGAGGGTAAATCAGGTTGTGATATCTGTCAGCCCATTGATCACCAGGGTTTATTTGATTGATCTCGATGGCTAAGCAGGTGTCTCTTCCTCCCTAACCACTCCATCTGCATCCCTTCTAAAGCTGTGTGGTTGGTAAAAAAGACTGTCCTAATAGAGGAGAGCCGGTCTTTGTTAAAGGGTATATGAATAGCTGTACATCCCTGCTGGAACTTCCAAGCAAGCGATCAACGTGTTTGATTCTTTAACTAGGCAATTTGTTTTATTGACTGATTGTACCTGGGATTGGAGCTAGAGGGCCTCATAAACGTTAGGCACGTGCTCTCCCACTAAATTGCATCCTCAGCACTCTTCTTACTTTCTTAGTGAGACAACACGCAGTTGTCTAGGCTAGCCTTGGACCTGTGATCTCCCTGCTTCAGCCTCCTGAGTAGCTGGGATTCCAGGCCTATACCCAGTAGGCCATTAGGTGTCTATTTCTCCCTTCATGCTTCTCTTCTTTGCATCCATCCTGGGGTGTCTACATCCCCTTGCTATCAATGCTGATTCCTCTGCTTTTCCAGTGAGGGTTGGTGGGGGGATGGGATGGGATATGGCACACAGAGAAGGGGACCAAGTGGCATAAGGCAGGGAAACTCTTCCCATCTTCCACTAGGATTTGGTCCACAGAGCGTGTGGGAGATGGGATGATGGAGTCCTGTATGGCTTGGAGTTCACAGCCCTGGTGACCTGACACCTGCCTTACAAACTGTACTGGTTCAGGTGACTAGGTTATGAGTTTCAGCTTCATCAGGGGATAACACTAACCTCAGGTGCTCATTTTCCAGGCCCCATGCTTGAACACACCACCCGCCTGCTTGCTTCAGGCTTTCCCCATTGACACCAGGATAGAGATGTACTCCCAACCCCCCTTCTTTAAAGACCGCTGTTCTGGTCTTCTCCACATCAGTCCTTCTTTCTGTTTGAGCCTCTCTGGTCGTTTTATTTTATTTTATTTTTTTATTTTTGGTGCCTGCCCTGGATCTCACTCTGTAGACCAGGCTGGCCTTGAACTCACAGAGATCCGCTTTGGCTCTGCCTCCCGGAGTGCTGGGATTAAAGGCGTGCGCCACCTGCCGCCGCCCGGCCTCTCTGGCCTTCTTGGCCAGGTAACCTCCCCAATTCCCATTCCATTCCTTAGTTAAAGGTCAGTACAGTTTCGAATTGTCACATGCCATTCTTACAGTTTGTTTTCCCTACAAGATGTTTTATTGGATTCTCAGTGCCTAGACTGGTGCTTTCCAAGAAGTAGGTGTATGCATTTGCACACACAGACTCCATTCCCACTGTCATTTCAGGGACTCAAGAGCGTTTCTACCATAGCAAGCTATAATCAGAACTTTTTGTTTTTTTAAAAGGGGTGCTGGAGGTTGAACCCAGGTCCTCACATATACTAGACAAATGTTTCAGTCCTAGCCCCCTAAGTCTTAAAAATAATAAATACAAATGCTGTTTCATAATATAATATCAATAGCAAATTATTTTAGAGGGGGTAGAGTGTCTTATAGCCATGGGAAGTGTAGCTTAATTTAATGCTACTGGGAGACTTTATTTTTCCTAGCAGTGAGTTTATCAAACTTACATACAAATATGGGAGAAGATGTAAGAACTGGACAAGGGTGGATGTATGTATCAATTCTTTTGCTGAGAGCTTTTGGTGTTTGTCTGTTTTAAAGTAGCAAATGTTCACTTTCTTTTTAAACTACTTTCGAGGCTGGGTAGGAAGGCCTGGGAAAGAAGGCCCATTTGTCACATTGTTTCAATGGAAGACTGTATTCCAAGTTCCAGTTGAGTGACCTGCAAACAGGCTCTTGGAAGCCAGGACATTCACAATGAGTTGCTCTACTTTTGGCCTCAGCTTCTTGGCACCCAGCTTTCAAGAAAAAAAGAGAAAGCATTCACAATTACATGGCTCTTTGATTTTAAGCATGTTTTCCGTAGTTTAGAATTCTTTGTTATGGAAATTTTTTCATTTCACATTTTTAAGAAATAGGATTAGAAAATATATTCGAGTTACAGCTAGGTAATATCCTAACTGGTAGCATAGGAGTGTGTGTTTTGCCATTAACATGTAATTACATATTAGCTTAAAAGAAGGAAAAAGGGGCTGGAGAAGATGGCTCAGTGGTTAAGAGCACTCACTGTTCTCTTCTTCTGAAGGTCCTGTGTTCAAATCCCAGCACCCACATGGCAGCTCACAACTGTCTGATGCTCTCTTCTGGTGTGCAGATGTATGTGCAGACAAAGTGCCCATATACATACAACATAAATAAATCTTAATTAAAAAAAGGAAAAAATTTGATGGCTTATAATAAAGCTTGTTCTTTAATGGGCACAACTGTATAATTATTTATGTACTTTCATAGGAGAGGTAATACGCTTGTTGCTTGCCTCTGTAACAAAGCAGCTGAGATTATTGACCCCTAAAGAGCAATGTTATTTGGGTTCCCAGGTTTGGAAGTGGCAGTCCTTGATGGATTGGCATTGCTTTCGGGCCTAAGGTGAAGTTC